GATCAGCAGGTGAAGAGTTTCATTGCATGCTCTTCTCCTGTGGGTTGTACTTTGGAGTGTTGAACCTGCTGCCTGAGCTTCTGTGCAGATTGTGTTTTGGGCTAACTTCAGTTCTTCATTCCGTGTGGGGCTGGCAGGTTGGGTTTTTGTGATGTGGTGGTTTTTTTGGTTTTGGTTTTTTTAAATATAGTTCGTAAGACATTCTTGCAGAATTTTCTTTTGACACCTTGGTTGTTTTCTGACATGTACACTTCTAGAATGAGCAATACTTCTAAGAAGAAAAGATTGAAGTCTTAAAACTTCGCATCCAGAAAAACATAATTTTTATTCCATAGATATTTTCTGCCAGGACTTGTTCTGAGGTTTCTTGTCTGTCGTCTTATGTGTATAAGTGTTTTCTCCCCCACATTTTCTCCAGTGCCCCTCCTGCCTTTTTCCCTTCTCCCTCTCATCCCCCCCTCTGTGACGTTACGGGCTGCAGCGGGTCAGGGGCGGGCAGAGGGGTTTGGCTGCGCTGAACACAGAACATCAAGGAGTTTGCAGAGGTTTGGAAAGAAGTTCATATTACTTTTTAGTTGTGCTGCAAAAGTACTATGATGTGTAGTGGGTGTTGAAGTTGCTCTGAATGGAATTCTGTTTCATTTTAGAGGGATTGCAGCTATAAAGACCTAAAGAAGTGAACGAGTTAAATCATTTAGTTAGGGAGGATAAATGAAGCAATTCTCACTGTATTTTTCAATTCAGGAATAGTATGTTTGAGTAATTTGTAGCCAGTATGGGTTAAATTGGCCGACTTTTATCAGAAGAAATAGGTTAGCATGTATTGATTTTATGTAGCTAACTCTGGGAAGTATTTTCTGATAATTTTTTTGAGGAACTTCCTTGGTTTTATGATTTTCATATACTTCAGATATGTACCAGTTTGAGTTGTGCTATTTTTAGAAGTAATTAAGCATGCCTCTTTTAAAAGCAAAACTCTTCACTTTATGATGTAAGGAAAGTTGAGAGTAAAAGAGCAGCATAGTTACACTAATATGCCATTGTAGCATGTTCCCATCCTGTCATCTGGAAAATTAAATCAGGTTACAGCATGGATTAACATCTAGACTTGTGAGGAGGGGAAGGTAGTGTCTTAAATGCCATGAAATTGAACAATGGGATTATACAGTTCACGGCTAATTTCAATATTCTTGTGTATTTGGCTTTTTGTTGAACAAGATTCTGTAGGAAGAGGCAGTAATAGGTTTTAGAACTTGGAAACAGCTACATATTTACTAAAATACTAACAGTAATAGCTTGAATGTGGTTGAGGAATGAATCCAATGCTCTACATAGTGTGCCTGGGTGTGAGGTACAGTCTCTGCTACTACATTAGGCAGAAAATCGAGTTGACTTTTTTCTTAGTACCAACAGTTTTAATTTAAAATAGTGACATAGTAAGTGTTTGAAGTTACTGTAGTTTTGTGGGCAGAGTTGACAGCCAGCTCTTTCCCGAGCACCTCACGTGAGTGCTATTTTACTGGTGTTGGTGGTGCCGATTAAAGCTGAGTCCTGAACGCTTGGTTGAGCTGCCCCCCTGTATTCCTGCACTGGTATGGCCCCTTGCCCTTCTTCAGAAGGGTCCGTTGTGATTATTAGGTGCCTTATGCTTGTCCTCTCAATGGAGAGCCTGGTCATATGGAGTAATAGTAATGTTTGTTTTGTAGATGTTTATATTTCATGAAGTAAGGGGTCTTGATGGCCACTATCTAAATGTCTGGTTTTTTGTAAAGCCTCTTGGTTTAGTGAGGGTGCTCCAGCTTCTTGGAACTTCATGTAACGACCACAGAGAATTTAAGTATAATTTTATTGTGTATATATATGTAGGAAAGTGTAGTTGAAAACACCTTTCAAATGAACATTGGATTAACAATGAAGAATGGATAGAGTGATGAAAACTATAATGTGATAAAACTAAGATGTAATGTAGTTTCTTTTTCCATTGTGTAGTGTTTTCCAAATAAAGAGACTGAATGTTTAGTAAATATTCCCGGACCATGTAAAAGCTGAAGTGATGGCGCTGACGCAATGTTAAATATAAAGTATACTTGTAAAAACATGAGGACATGCAAGCGTGTGGCTGCCAGGCATAATTTAAAGGTGGTTTTCTTAACCGTAGGGTTCCAGGATATATGAATTAGCCATTCTGATGCTGTTAGAAGATGTTCATCAAAATCAGACTGTACACAAACTATACATCCCGCTATCTTAACAGGCGTGTGACATATTGCTGTTATTTCCATTGAGATTGGTGGACAAGAAATGAAGTTAATTTCGTACATTGTGGATAAAATTTAACTACTTCTAATGTATACAGTTGATTGACAGAAAAAGTTTTTATATATAATAAAGACAACTATTTCAGTTGTGTGAAGTCTGCACAGGAAGCATCCAGCAAATTTCCTCCTGTCTTCTCACTGAGCCTTCCAGTGTCTATGTTTTACTGTCTAATTTTAAAGAGGTAGAAATAATCTATCCTTTAGCGTACAGATTGATAGACAAGTAAAAGTGGAATGGTACTAGTTAAGAGATACAGAAAAGATTGTGTAATAGCAAAGTAAAAACTACATTACAGTCAATAAGCTACTCCGTAGAAAAGTTTAGAAACTCCCCACTTTGTGCTACTGCATTGCTTAAACGGCCCATTTCAGCAAGTTCTATTACCTGTGGCTTTGTGAGGGCTTGGGTTGTCTTTTTTTTTTTGTTGTTTTCTTTTTTTCGTTCTTTCAATCCCAATTGAAAATCCCAATTTTCTGTAAGAATGAACGTATTTAAGTAAAAACTCCGAATGAAAATTGATGTAAATAGACAAAGCAAAAATTAAACCCAAAAGAGCCTAACAAAAAATCCTTGGCTGTGATTTTTAAGTTATTATTGGTGTTTTGTTTCATTTTAATGAGAGAGGTTTGTAAGGTGGCCTCTGAGACAATACCAGCATGTATTTATTTGCCTGTGATAAATGACTTGCAGCTACTGGCGCTTATGAGTGAATCTTGGTGTTGTGCGAAGTGGTGCCCGATGCACCTCTGGCTCTGGATGCTGCTCTTGCTCGGAGCCTTCAGGGTTCACAGCAGGGTTGTCAGATGGGTTCCTCTAGGCCTTCCCTTGTGCCAGTGAGCTCCTGAGACACAGGAAGGCATTAAAGATGCTATGAAAATAGGAAAAATGCAGGCTTACACAGAGTTACTTTGTATGACTAATTGTATTAGATTGCTATCTATGGAGGAATGTGTTTAGAGCAAACACATTTAATTTTTAAAATATTTAAGAATATGTATCAGAATAGCTGTTGCATAGTTTCCTCTTACCACTGATACCGTGTGTGCTTTGGTGAAAAAGGAGCTGTGTTGTCCTGTTAATTGTCACTTGTGTATAAAGGATCACTCCTGCCAGTTCAGCTGTTCACATTTGTTTGTGTGGTTGGGCGCTTGGCTTAGCACACTCACCTGCATAGAGACTTAAAATTTTCAAACTAAGGCTTTGAAAGGTGATCCCTTGCTCTCTGTTTCTACTTTGTTGTGTTAAGGTAGAAGGGTTTGCTCATAAATATGTGTAAAATTTGCTATATTGTGTATGTAATTGTGTGCGTGATAATGGTGAAATGTTAAAACCAAGCATCTGATTGTCTGGGAAAAGTTTAGCTAGAAAGTTTATTAATGTACAGTCTTGCTGTATTTGTAATGTAAAAAGGATACATCTTAATAAAAACTTTGCATCTGCTCGCAGTTGAACGGCCAATCAACTCCTTTATTACTAAAGCAAACTTTGCCAATGAGAGGTCTGGGGTGGGGCTATTCTGAAATAACAGCGTATGGTGCATGTGTCGTAAAATCGCCGTTCTTCCCCTCAAGCCCAGGCTACAGTACGGTGCAGCAAGAGTTCAGCAGTAGTTCAGCAGGAGAGGTGCTGTGTGTCACTCCCTACTAATGACCAAAATTTGTGGAAACAGTGTGTGGAGAGCGAGGAGCCTGGTCTGGGGCCGTTGGGTGAGCCCGGCCCCTCTGACGGCCCAGGGGCAGCAACCACAGGGGACACCCCTTCCTTTTCCTGGGCTTGATGCTGAGCTCTCCTGTGGTTGGTGGATGGTTTGGGTTTTGGGTTTTGTAATTAAAAAAAAATTCTTTGTAGAATGGAATCTCGTCTTCTCAGCCATATTCCTTTGAAAAATGGATGGCCTTGAAGAGTTCTGTTTTAAATAGATTGTCATATAAATAATTTCAATCGTGATTTTTTGTTATTTTATGAGCATCTCCAATTAAATCCAGGCAATACTCCCATGTTATTTATTCTGACAAGCCAGAAGAATAAGGACGATGCATCAGTCTTAAATGCTTAGAGCATCCGGGGCTGCGTTAATTACCTCTTTCAAATTCCGGATAAATATTTTTTGTTTTCTAGGCAGTATACCTTAATATTAATATAAAGTAATTTTGAGAGATTTGTAACCTGGTATGGCTGAAAACATGCCCAGAGGTTAATCGATGCAGTGTTTGTAGCTGGTGAAACTAGTTCTCTGGTTACAGACAAAATCTAAGTGCTTTTGGTAACCGCTTCCTGGTGCCGAGTGGTTGCAGCCAGAGAGGGATTGCGCAGGGAAACAGCCTGAAGTTCAGCGTAGCACTGGGACATCTCTTACGCAATAATTTATATAAAAATATAAAATACATATTTACGTATGTGTGTAGGTGCCTGTGTGTCTGCATGTCTGTGTACACCCAGTTTTTCATGGTTTCATGGGTTTGGTGTGTGTATGTTTTCTATCTGGTTTTTGTCTTTCTGGAGGAGGGTAAAGGGAGAGCCTTGAAAAGTCCTTCCCTGCTCTTATCAACAGAGCAGCCCCAGCTGCCCTCCTCGGATCCCCTGCCAGGGTTGCTATCATCTTCTGATCAAATATTAATGTGTGATTCTCTGCTTGCTCACTAATCCAAAGCCAATTAATATTATCTGTCAATTATTTACAGATCCTGAGGTGCGGAGGCAATTCCCAGAGGACTACAGTGACCAG